ATTAAGTTTCTCCTTATAGCTGTGTTCAGGATACAAGACTAATTTAATGAAACTCTTCAGACTTATCTACTTTTAAACCACAGAAACATCAACTGTCAGCCACCAAACAGCCACGTCCAGTTTCTAAATCCAATTTACTTAAATGTGTCCTATGTCCAGGCCTGCAACTATTATTTTCCTTATTAATGGGCTGATTATTTGGAATAATTTAATCTCTGAAATGTTAAGAATAAATTGTCAAGTAAAGCTCACCATATCAATCGTTTCAGATTCAATGTAGCCATTTTTGATAACTAAATCATGTATCCATAGGAGTGCTGGTTGTAGTAATATAGGTGCAATTTAACTTGTATTCCAGGCTGATTCACTACCTATACTAACCCGTGAGATTTAAAATTTTCTACGTTAAAAGATTTAAACTCCAGATTTGAACAAGAACATTTTCTGTATAAACAGTGCACACATTTCAACAGTAGGTGGCAGGCTAAGCCCAGTAATACTTCCTGTCATAGCACTTGTAATGATAATAGTTTGCTGTGTGCGGTGTCGTTGTCATGACTAATGTGATGTGATTATCTGGGAATTAACTGAGTTAGAAGTGCCTGGTGTCCCTCAAACGAACCTCGGCAGCTTCCTTCTCAAACTTCTCGATAGTTCTCTTGTCGATTCCTCCGCACTTGTAGATGAGGTGGCCGGTCGTGGTGGACTTGCCGGAGTCGACATGACCAATGACCACAATGTTGATGTGGATCTTCTCCTTTCCCATTTCGACTTACTGGTTGTAAAAAACATGGGGAGCAGTTATGTGGGCTTTATTAAATATAACGCATGGGGCTTAGAGTTGGAGTGAACTCAGTGGGACCACCAAACTTAAGTTGCTACTACTAAGTAGGACCAAGTCAGCTGTTAACAGACAGCGGTTTTGTTGACGGAAATATATTTCTGGCTTAAATTTGTCTAAACATTGAGAGCTTCTGGTAGCTTCTTTTGATACAATCCAAAATTAAAATCAATTCGACACAATACGTTACGTCGTTATTTATCACTGTGTTGCATCTCTGCATTAGCAATTAGCCTACTAGCAATATTTAGCTAGGTGACCTGATGCCGCGTTCAGGTCATATCGCTTAAATCGTAATTAAGAAAAACCAGGCAGAAAAAAACCCTAACGGACGGTAAGAAGCTACTGGTAGAATCGTTGCAAACGCACCACCGCTGGCACTTACAGCAAAATAAAATCCAATATTTACAAAAGAACGTGGCTTAACCAAATACGCAACAGCAGCTATTCTGGGCCGGTTCAGCTGGTCAGACTAACGTCATGGGACCAGTAACGACCCATGACTAACCACCCTGAAATGCCTACATAAGGGCGTTCCCCATTCTTCCCACATGGATGAATGCATCATTAAACGACATAGCTCTCTAATGTATGGTCAGATGCATCTAGCGTTGTATTTTGTGGCGGGACAGTCATGTTAACGCTTATTTTCGGTGTCCATTCCCGCGAGTGAAAAGCGACATTGAATCATACACCATATGCTCGATGCCGGCTATTCAGCCTCCATGTTGCGCCGCGAGCACAGATCCGCCATGTTACCAAATGGTGCAAGCGCGCACCCGACCCGGTTTACTAAGAACTGGTGGAAGGGTGCGCGCTCACATGTATAGAAAAATTACTGGCAGAGAATGAAATCTGGCAATTGACTTAAAGCTTAGTTTCCACTGTCTGATCACCCACAATTAAGCCTTACTAAGAGAAAGCTAATTTTCTGATCACATGACACCAACATTTTATAAATTTAAACCAAGTTAGCACGTTTTAACCTTGAAAGTGTAACCAAAACTAAAATTGAGAAATTATGAAAACCAGTTTTGTGCAGATTGAGTTCATACCAGTTAAGTATTGCAATAGTTCCTATCATGAACACTTTCAGCTCCTCAACATGCAATTCAGCTTGAAGAGCAGGCTATTAAAAGAAAATTTTACCAACCTGTGCCCAGTAACTAATACGACTTCCCCTGATTTGGAGCAGAGGGAAAAAAGGACAGAATATGAGCTGTCCAGAGTTTTTATACCGAACAAGAGCAGAGGGAGGGCTGTGCATGCCTTGTTGCTGTCATACTAAAAATAAAGAGGTGCTATTGGCTAAGGTACAAGTCCTATTGAGGCGATTGGATGACAAGTGCATCACTGGGCACATAGCATGGTCAAAAACAGCTGCAACACAAGACAGAGACTCCTCTGACAGCCCAAACTACACCCAGCAGCAGCACAAAAGGATCAAGACAAGCAAATTACAATTTTTTCAAATATATTTTATTAGTTACCAGCAGCTTGCTCTCCAATTAGATTTGTTTCATCAAGATAGTTCTAAACCATTTCCCAACTTAAATGTAACTGAGAAGAGGCACCGTCTTGTGATTCAGGTACACGACAATGCCACAGTTTTTTCCTGCGAAAATTTTTGCGATGGGTTTTAATCAGCATAAGCCAGTCCTTGAGTAGAGAGCTCGGCCTCAGAGAAGACAGGTGGCAGGGAAGAAGAGGGTGTGGGGCGGCCCGCTGCTGCTGAGACGTGACTTTTTGTTGGACGTCCTGCACGACAATTCATTTCTTCTTCTCGGCCTTCTGCGCAGACTTGGTGACCTTTCCACCTGAGGCCAACTTCTTCTCCACAGACTTGATGACACCGACGGCCACAGTCTGCCTCTGAGAAAAGCAGTGAATTTGTGAATGCAATTTGTATACGATTGTTTAATCAGTTTAACAGTTGTAATCTAAGCATTATCTAACAAGTAAAACCACTCACCAAGGGGAGGGTAATTGGAAAAGGGCTGCACAACCATGGGCTTCTGTGGAACTAGTTTGATAATGGCAGCATCTCCAGACTTGAGAAACTTGGGGTTGTCCTCAAGCTTCTTGCCAGAATGACGGTCAGTTTTTTCCTTGAGCTCGCTGAACTTGCAGGCAATGTGACAGGTGTGGCAGTCCAGCACTGGGGCATAACCTTCACTGATCTGGCCAGGGTGGTTCAGGATAATGACCTGCGGGGGGCACATTTAAAATTAGATTTCTAACAAACAAAATAAAAACAGGAAATTACCAACACAAGTTCACAATAACAACCTGGGCATTGAAGCTTTCAGCAGCCTTGGGTGGGTCGTTCTTGCTGTCGCCAGCCACATATCCACGACGGATTTCCTTGACAGACACATTCTTGACGTTGAAACCAACGTTGTCACCAGGGACAGCCTCAGGCAGAGACTCATGGTGCATCTCCACAGACTTCACCTCAGTGGTCAGGTTGGGGGGAGCGAAGGTGACGACCATACCGGGCTTCAGGATGCCGGTCTCAACACGGCCGACGGGGACAGTTCCAATACCTGAGACAAACCAGTTTAAGTTCAAGGCTTTGTTGTTATTAGTGCCATTATGCTTTATTTAACAAAATGCCAGTTTTTACCGCCGATTTTGTAGACATCCTGCAGGGGCAGACGCAGGGGCTTGTCAGTGGGGCGAGCTGGTGGCAGGATAGCATCCAGAGATTCCAGCAGAGTGGTTCCAGTGGCATTACCCTCCTTGCGTTCAATCTTCCATCCCTTGAACCAGCTCATCTACAGACAATGTTCAAAAATCAGTTAATGTGCAAAATCTATGGTTTACCCAAGTTGAGCACTAGGGTAAAAATTTCCTCACCTTGTCACTGGCCTCCAGCATGTTGTCTCCATGCCACCCAGAGATGGGGACGAAGGAAACAGCAGCGGGGTTGTAGCCGATCTTCTTGATGTAGGCGCTCACTTCCTTGGTGATTTCCTCAAAACGCTTTTGGCTGTACGGGGGCTCGGTGGAGTCCATCTTGTTTACTCCAACGATGAGCTGCTTCACACCGAGGGTGAAGGCCAGCAGGGCGTGCTCACGGGTCTGGCCGTTCTTGGAGATACCAGCCTCGAACTCACCAACACCCGCAGCAACAATCAGCACAGCGCAGTCAGCCTGAAAATTTTATATCAGCCAGTTCAGACTTAAATATACTAAAGTTCAATACAAAAGGGACAACTTTAATCTTATAGCAGTCTTTACCTGAGAGGTACCAGTGATCATGTTCTTGATGAAGTCCCTGTGTCCAGGGGCATCGATGATGGTCACATAGTACTTGCTGGTCTCAAACTTCCACAGAGCAATGTCAATGGTGATACCACGCTCACGCTCAGCCTTCAGTTTGTCCAGCACCCAGGCATACTTGAAGGAGCCTTTGCCCATCTACAAAGGAACAAATACACAAATAAGTCTCTGCTACTAGGAAAAAAATACCTGCTGCTCAATTGTGAGTCATTTGAGTTTCCTGGTCTTACAGGACAGTTAAGTCATTTAAGATTTGTAAATGCCACCTCTGCTGTACAGTCATTCTTAGTCCTAAATGAGAATTTTTCTGGAAATGGATCACAAGCATTTACGTAGTCAGTTTTAAACCTGACATTTACTTAACATCTTTAGCTTTAACATTTAGCGAAATTTGCTCTAACTTAATTGTACATTTTGTACGTGTTCAACAGCTTCAGATTACACTGAACAAAGTGCACTGTTGGCGCTGCTCGAGCTAAGCCCCACCCAGCGTGCGCGCACACGTATCTACACCCTCGTGCCGGGCAGCAGTGCTCAGCAGGGGCACGCTGACGTCGCCATCTTGGGACTGGACTCCCCAACAGTTCTATAGATAAAAACAATTTGCTCACCTCGGCAGCTTCCTTCTCAAACTTCTCGATAGTTCTCTTGTCGATTCCTCCGCACTTGTAGATGAGGTGGCCGGTCGTGGTGGACTTGCCGGAGTCGACATGGCCAATGACCACGATGTTAATGTGGGTCTTTTCCTTTCCCATTTTTAGTTTCTGTCACGAAAAAAAGACCCATCCATTAAATCTCACGTTTAAACGCACCATCATTATTCAGCCTAGCTAACGTTAGCTAGCCGATAGCTCAAGTGATAAGGGTAGTGTGACAAATGAAAATGACACATCTGGCCCGGCTAATTTTGAAGAATATTCTGCCTGACGTCTTTTTGAAGTTTAGAAAGGCGTTAAAATCTCGAATACACTCAAAGCCAAAAAGAAAAAAAATCACCCTCGTTATTTGTTACTCAACACTAATGCTATGAGTCAATACGCTAACAGGCAGCTGCTGCTGCTGGGCGGCCACAGGCCAGCCGAGACACGTGTTACTCCGTGGCCCACGGCGTATAAAGTTACACAAAGATCGCCAAATATTCACAGGCTAACTTGTCCAGACTCCCAACACCTGATACTAGAGAGCACGTACAGTTGTTTCACGGAGGAGAGCGAAGAGAGAAATGTCCTTCCTGCATCCCTAGTTCTCTGCTTTCAGCGTCATGTCTTTGTTCCTTATCCTTCTAACGTTACATTACCTTCTCTCCCCTTAAAATCATTTTGTCTGAAAATAATTAACGTTACAATCTCGCAAAAGTCAATAACACACAAAACGTTGACTTTAACCAAATTATCTCAGCGTGAATGATATTCTCTAAATTTTATAGCTGCCTTCAAAAAAATCCACAGGTTAGTTTGAAGTTACATAACCGAAAAGGCGAAGTTTTGGCTAAAGGCAATCAGTTAAAGAAATTCCTCCAAACTAAGTCCTTCTAAACAATTACAGGCCTAGCTCCGTCTCGCTAGCTACCGTATGAATCAAAGCTTAACTTACCGGTGTTTCAGCGTTTTCACGGCCAAAGCTATTGCCCCTAGCCAGGTAACAGAAAGAGGAAGAGTGGGTCTGACTGGTAGGTTTTATACTGAATGGGAGGCGGCCTGACTTCCCGTCGCCCTCCCCGGTGCAAACCCAAAAAGCCACACAGTCCTGCTAAAAACGTCAGCACGCCACCGGACGAACCGCCTGAAACATGCATGTCTTATAGCACCAGAGATCGTGATCTGAGCTTCAGCTCTGACACAACCCATCACTCACCATAATAATAATAACAACTATTATTGTACAGATACATAGTGATGATTCTGATAAACAGTTTTATTCTCATTTGACTGATCTCCTCCCAAATATCCTTGAGTTTTATTCCTGAACAGCTGAGAGGAACACACTGGTTCATTTGGAAGGTGTTGTTGACCTCCAGTGTAGGAAAATATTTTTCAACTGTAGTATTAGCATAAAAAGTAGTCGTGCAAAATGGCATATTTCATATTAATGTACATTATATTATTAGATTATAATAATTGATGCATTTTGTGTACATCACATTTAATGTTGTAGCTGGTTAAGGGGGAGTTAATGTTAACTACCCCACACACCAATTTGAAGTACTGCTGTGAACTTCGCACTGGGGATCAATAAAGTCTTATGATTAAACTATATTTTGTTTTATGTGTTTGATTAGAAGATTAGAGTAACACATCGAATTCACGGGTTTTGTGAATGGCAGGGGCGTCATAGTAGTTGCTTATTACTTTAAAAATCGTTCACATAAAACAGTTCAATTTTCAGACTGACATTTTAAACCCAGAGTTATATAATTTACCTACACTCAAAGCCAAAACAGCATAAAGCTTCACCCCCATCTCTACCTAAACCTGTCCCACCCACCAGTAACACTACAAACTCATCATCTTGACAAGATTACCTAAATCTGAACAACATTTGCATTCAAACAGAGGCCAGACCCTGAGAGGATTAACTCATGCTGTTTTCAGGACACCCTGTCATGCAAGCATTTACATTCCCATAAGACACATGTACAAATGATGACGTATTA